TGGGCTGGCTGGCACTTGTAGTCCGTATATCAGCATGTCTGTGGGCTGATTGGCACTTGTAGTCACATATCTCAGCATGTCTGTGTGCGGGCTGGCTGGCATTTGTAGTCCATATCTCAGCATGTATGTGGGCTGGCTTGCACTTGTAGTCCATATCTCAGCATGTCTGTGGGTTGGCTGGCACTTGTAGTCCATATCTCAGCAGGTCTGTTGGTTGACTGGCACTTGTAGTCCATATCTCAGCAGGTCTGTGGGCTGATTGGCACTTGTAGTCCATATCTCAGCATGTCTGTGGGCTGATTGGCACTTGTAGTCCATATCTCAGCAGGTCTGTGGGCTGGCTTGCACTTGTAGTCCATATCTCAGCATGTCTGTGGGTTGGCTTGCACTTGTAGTCCATATCTCAGCAGGTCTGTGGGTTGACTGGCACTTGTAGTCCATATCTCAGCAGGTCTGTGGGTTGACTGGCACTTGTAGTCCATATCTCAGCAGGTCTGTGGGTTGACTGGCACTTGTAGTCCATATCTCAGCATGTCTGTGGGATGGCTGGCGTCTGCCTGGGGCTAGTAATCCCCACATCATGGCGGTGGCGCGCTTGTTCCGGCTGCAGAGCAGGCTAGGTGGTACATGTGCAAAGACGGCGGGACTACGGTTATTTATTTAATTTATTTATTTATTCTTCTCTTTGCACTGCTTTCTGGAATTATCATTTTTATTTCTTTTATTTTTTGCCATTTTTTAAGAGTGCTAGCTGGGTACCTTTTTTGGCAGAAAGAAGACTCCAGTGTGGAATAAAGCGTCCGCCAAGAGCTCGGTCCAAAGCACTCCTGTCTCCTGTTGTCCAGGACAAGCTGCTTCACCAGAACAGTGCAGGGTGGATTAAACATCCACCAAGTGGTCGTTCTAGGAACACCGTCGCCAGTAGCCCATTGCAGGCCTACGGAAGTGAGATGAGGACAATCACGTCACCAAAAAGCTTCCAAGAAGAGCACATCCTCTGGCCGGCACTGGAACAGGTCTTCTACCTTTTCCAGAGCCTCTTCTCCAACCCTGAAGTGGTGGCCTGTTGGGGCTGTTCAGCTGAGGCATTGCTGGGCAAATTGGTGGGCACATCCTATCTTAGGTAACAAAGCTGCAGACACACAGCTTGTAAAATTATACATTGGAGACATGGCAAAAAGAGCAATTGGAGTGTTCCTCTCCAGCCTCCAGAACCAGGCTGGTTGGTTGGGGAGCCCACAGCTTTGGTCACCAGGATTAAGGTTGTTGGAAGAGGCGGACTACGCAGAGGTCCTATCTGCTAGCGTTAGTACCTTCCCGATTCACTCTGCTAACGTTCCCATATCTGTTACGTGGAAAAGTGGTGAAGGTGCTTTCAGAAAATCTGACTACAGTGGCTTACTTGGCCTGTCAAGGGGGCACCAGAAGCTTGCCTCTCTGGAGAATAGCCTGCCAAATCTTCCTTTGAGCAGAAGGGACTTTACCCTTGCTTCATATCTCCACATTCTGGTGGACCACAGTTGGAGTTTTGTAGCCTCAATTCGAAATAGTTGCGGAAAAAGCCTGGGCGACACCAGACGTGGATCTGATGGTGTCAGCAATGAACTTCCAGCTTCCCTCTACTTCGCCTAATTCGGGACCCGTAATGCTTGGGCCAAGATGTCCTTTCCAGGCCGTGGAGGTTTCTCCTAGTGCACATTTTTCCTCCAATCCCTCTAGTTCTAAAGGTTCTTCTGAAGATACCACACAAAGTGGGGGGCAATAATAGCCCTGCTCTCTTGGCCGAGCCGGCCTTGGTTTCCCCTTGTATAGAGGATGAGGCTAAAACAGCCAATTCCACTCCCAGTTTGTTTGGATCTCAAGAAACAGAACGGGGTATTCCATATGAACACCACGAGATTGAAATTAATGGCTTGGAAGTTGAGCGGTGCTCTCTAAGACATCTGGAACTGTCAAAAGGCGTAGTTGACACCTTGCTGCAAGCTAGGAAAAAGTCAATTATTTCAACCTTCCAGCGGGTATGGAAAGCCTTTTTTGGGGCTCTCTTCTGGTAAAAATTGGAATGCTTCAGCTCCCTCGGTATTTAATGTTCTTAAATTCCAGCAAATTTTGGAATATAGTTCCCAAAGTAGCCACCTCTTTACAAAGATTGGCCAGCCACATAACTCTTCCACTCTTTTTTTAGGTAATGGACCACAATATTGATACAGATCTGAAGAGGATGCACACTGTGGCGGGACCATCCCCTATGGCCCTCAAAGTTTGGGTGGCAGAAATGGAGTCCTGTGGCTCAGGAGAAGTGCAATTCTTCAGGATAGCTGTGGACTTCATTGCTGAAGAAGAGTGGCACAGTCCACCCGCATGCCACGCCCACAGCGACTAGCTAATCGAGGCGGCCGTGACTTGGGGTAAGAGGGAATAAGGAGGACTTAACTTTGAATATATAAAACCGTATATAAGACCAGCCGTGATATACTTCCACAGCCCGCACTACCTCTTGGTCACCACAGGAGGGAGACTCCACTCCAATCCAGTCAACGGACCACACACTGGCAGATGCAAATCTTATATACAATCTGGTGCACACTAAGGGTTGAGGAGCAGCCCAGCAATCGCACACCCTTCTAGGATTCCTCCAGCTATCCCACAGCTAGAACCTGGTGTTAATCACTCTTCCACTGTCCACACACCCCCACATTATACACACCACAAACGGTAGCTTGCCACCACCCAACAGTTTATCCGCAGAACGGTCTGTTGGGACACCCCACACACACAGATCTCCGTCTGGCAGATCTGTTACCTTTACAATCTGCACGCAATCTGTCAACACGTAGTGCAATTGCATACAAATAGGCAATGAGCTTGACCGAGCATATAAAGACACTAAAATACAATACAATCTAATCTGTCCAATCTAATCTCTCCGGAGATATGAGCCCGTGCTTAACTACACAGAAGTCACTTATTAATTTTAAGATTTAATATCCCGAAAGTGGGCGGTGCATAAAATATGTACAAAGTATAAAAAGTTACAGAAAATACAAAAAATACAAGAAGACACACAAATGACTATTCACTATAAAATAAAAGGGAATAAAAAACAGAAATAAAACTTTTACCAAGATTTATCCTGCGACTGGAGCAAGTCAGAGAGTCCATAATCCGTTATTCGATCGAACCAGCTCCATACGAATCACACTGTCCAAATGTCAGGGTCCTCAATTTATGGGGCTATGGACGTAGGCCGGACATTAGTCCTTGCCCAATCGACTCTGGGGGGTGTTCCTGTACCCGCCCACAGGCTGTTCTGGGTGCTGAGCTGCCCAAAGTCAATTGGACCAAGACCGGCTTGAATCACCAAGTCGGGGATTGAATTTCCGACACCAGCGCATCGGTCCGATCGCGAAAGTACCAATCACTGTTCCGCTATCGCACTCCAGCACCACATAACCATTTCCTGCATTTTTCTGGCATTCTACATAGGCCACTAATATAGTTTTTATATGCCGATGTAGCCTACAGAGTGCCCCATCAGAAGGAAGTATTTTCATCTCTCTGCAACTAATATTTTAGCTTTTATGAGCGATGAAACATACTCCTATTGATGTATGTATATTCTTTTAGAGCTCCCCATGTCAGGGAGACAGATTGGAGCCCCCCTGGTGTCATGAAGCCAAAATGTCTGCGTTTCTCTTTTAAGCTTCAGGAAAATGGCAAAGTCTGATTACATATAGGTGACAAAATCTTATTAGCACCCAGGTGCCACTTCCAGCCTGAGGAAGCTTTGTCTCTTTTCAGATGCTAATGGGCGACCATATGCCTCTGCCTATGACTGAATATTTCTTTAACCTCTTGCCGACCGCGCATAGCCGAATGACGGCTTCACCGCGGCCGGCCAGTTCTGAGTGGACGTCATATGACGTCCTCCCAGAACGCGCTCTCCTGCGCGCCCCAGGGGGCGCGCACCCGGCGATCTCCGTGATCGCTGTGTCCTACGGACACAGCTGATCACGTGATGTGGTGAAAGGCCGATCCCACCGGCCTTTTACCACGTGATCAGCGGTGTCCAATGACACGCTGATCACAGGGAAATGCAAGTGCCGGTTCTCGGCTGCACTTTCCTCACGCTGTCAGATCGTGAGGAAAGTACTGCCGAGAACCGGCAGTTGTCAGAGCGGGGATAGGCACCGATCATCAGGGCACTGATGATCGGTGCCCAGCAGTGACACCCGCAAGTTCCGCCCAGCAGTGCGCCCACTAGCCCCGCCCACCCGTTCCCAGCAGTGCCCCCGCCTGTGCCCAGCAGTGCCCCCACCTGTGCCCAGCAGTGCACCCACCTGTGCCACTCTGCAGTGCCACCTACCTGTGCCCAGAAGTGCCACCTACATGTGCCCAGCAGTGCCACCCACCTGTGCCCACCCACCTGTACCCACCAGTGCCACCCACCTGTGCCCACCAGTGCCACCCACCTGTGCCCACCCACCAGTGCAGCCCAGCAGTGCTGCCAGTCAGTGCCACCAGTCAGTGCCCAGGGGTTGTGCCAGTCAGTGCCGCCAGTCAGTGCCCAGAAGTGATGCCAGTCAGTGCTGTCTATCAGTACCCATCATCAGTGTCACCTATCAGTGCCGCCTATCAGTGCTGCATATCAGTGCCGCCTATCCGTGACCCCTAATTAGTGCTGTCTATCAGTGCCGCCTATCCGTGCAACCTCATTAGTACTGCCTATCAGTGCCCTTTAGTGCTGCCTATCAGTGCCCATCAGTGCCGCCTATCAGTGCCCATCAGTGCCGCCTCATCAACGCAAATCAGTGAAGGAGAAAAAATACCTGTTTGAAAAATTTTATAAAAGAAACAAATAAACTTTTTTTTTTTCACATTTTTTGCACTTTTTTTAATTTATAGCGCAAAAAGTAAAGCGCCCAGTGGCGATTAAATACCACCAAAAGAAAGCTCTATTTGTGAGAAAAAAATGATCAAAATTTCATATGGGTACAATGTTGCATGACCGCGCAATTGTCAATCAAAGTGCGGCAGCGCTGAAAGCTGAAAATTGGCCTGGTAAGGAAGGGGGTAAAAGTGCCCGGTAGGCAAGTGGTTAATGATAAGGACTGAACTAAATTTACGATTACATATTGCTACAGGTCACATTTCAGCTACTCAAATCTGTGCATTTATGTCACAAAGAATTGTTTCAAAGAAGTCAGTTTGTACAGGCCTGGTGGGCCATTTTTCAGACATTGGAAGACCATCGGTGCAGGATTTCCAAAGGGAGTCAACTCCAAATCAAGCCAGCCAGTTAAGTCTTCCAACAAGGCCTTCAGAAGGTGTCTCCGCTCAACCCTCTCAAATGGGAGCAAAGCCGGCTCTATTCAGGAGGTCTGGGTGGAAGAAGTGGAGGATGCTTGAATTCTGGGTATCATCTGAAATGGATATCTGTTAGAATTTGCAAAAAGGCCCCTCAGTATTACTTTGGGGAATTTGGGTACCAAGACAAGAATGGGGCGGAGACATGTATTCCTCTTCAGTTCTGGTGCTCAAGTCCTCAGGTGCCTTCAGACCAGTTCTAGACCTGGAACATCTGAATTCCTCTATGAAGGCCCCTTCTTTCAAGATGAATTCCTTGGAGACCATTCATATTTAAAAAAACATTATAAGAAAATTAACAAAATAAAAAACAATAAATATTAAGGAAATGAAATAATTAAAGATTAAGGAAAAAAATAAAAATATATATAAATATTGTATAGGAAAATATTTTTGTTTTTTCTGTGAGTATGAGATGTTATAAAAAAAAACATGCAAAAATAATACAAAATAAAAAATCAAATAAAAAACAAAAATAGAAATAAAGAATAAGAAGAAAGAACAATAAAATACTGTTAATAAAATATTAGAAAATATTGTATAAGAATTTTTTTTTTCTGTAAGTGTGGGTGAGATGTTAGAAAGAAAAGTAATAGCAGTAGTAATAATAATAATAATAATAATAATAATAATAAAAGGAACCTCCAGGTAAGCGTGGATAATTTTCATATCCTATCCTCCCGTCCTGCTTGTATTCGGCAGCCTCCATACACACATACAGCCTACAAACTATGACATTTTTTTAAAATCTCTGTCTCCATCTGGTGTTCAAATATCTGTAAGACAATGTATGATAATTTATACCAATGTAAGAAAATAATAATGTATCTTTTTTTTTTTTTTTTTTTTTAAAGCAAATTGAATTGCTTCGCATAAAAAAACTTTTTTTGTTGAAAAATCACCATACAAAAGGGTGATCCAAAAAATGGACAAAGCCATACATCATAGTGTTCAACAAACAGTTGCGGGCTATTATGTTAGCGCCCTTCTTCATATCGGAACACATATTGAAACACTAAATGCTACTTAGATCAATATATACATACATTGTAACTGGAATCAATGATGTCACTAATGGCCACTCTTCTGTCCTCCTGCTCCTTGACCTCTCCGCGGCCTTCGACGCTGTCGACCACCCCCTCCTCCTTGCCAAACTGCACTCCCCTTGGCATCAGGGACGCTGCCCTCTCCTGGTTCACCTCCTACCTTTCCCAATGCTCCTTTTGGCATCACCTATAACACTGCCACCTCCCCCTCCCTGTTGGAGTCCCCCAAGGCTCTGTCCTCGGACTCCTCTTCTCCATCTACACCTCCTCCCTTGGCAAACTAATACACTCCCACGGCTTCAATTACCACCTCTATGCCGACGACACGCAAATTTACCTCTGCACCCCCCACCTCACCCCCTCAGTCTCTGCCCGCATCGCCCACTTCCTGAACGACATATCAGACTGGATGTCGCTCCACTTAACCTATCCAAAACCGAGTTCCTGGTCTTCCCCCCACCCCACATCCTCTCCATCACTACTACCAACGCCACCATCTCTCCCCCACCCCACACGCCAAAGTCCTGGGTGTCACCCTGGACTCCCACCTCTCCTTCCTACCCCACATCCAACTGCTATCTAGATCTTGCAGGCTCCACCTCCGCAACATCTCCAAGATACGCACGTTCCTCACCCCAGACACCACCAAACAACTCGTAAACTCCCTCATCATCTCACGCCTGGACTACTGCAACTCCCTTCTCACCGGCCTACCCAAACGAACGCTATCCCCACTCCAGTCTATCCTGAACTCAGCGGCTAGACTCATCCACCTCACCAACCGCTCCACATTTGCCTCCCCCCTCTGCCAATCCCTTCATTGGCTCCCGATTGCCCAACGCATCAAATTCAAACTGCTAACTCTGACCTACAAATCCATTCACAACGCCGCCCCAAACTACATAACTGACCTGATACCCAAATACTACCCTACCCGTGCCCTCCGCTCCTCACAGGACCTCCTACTCTCTAGCTCCCTGGTCTCCTCCTCCCTTGCAGGATTTCTCCAAGACCTCCCCCATCCTCTGGAATTCCCTACCCCAGTCCATTAGACTGTCACCTACCCTCATCACCTTCAGGCGCACTCTGAAGACCCACCTCTTCAGGGAAGCCTACCCCAACCTCACCTAACACCTGACCTCACCTAACAACTAACCTCCTCCACTCCTCCCACCACTCCATCCCCCACAGCCATTTCCTCCTGTACCACCTTCCCCTCCCTCCTAGATTGTAAGCTCGAAAGAGCAGGGCCCTCGAACCCCTCGTGTATTGTATTGTTACTGTCTTGTCTCATGTTCTGTCCCCCCCGCTATTGTACAGCGCTGAGCATACCCTTTGGCGCTATATAAATACTGTATAATAATAATAACCCGCTGTGTCTGGAGCACACAATAGAACACAGATCGCTGTACAGGACTTCTGTGTGAGGTCCCGATCATGTAATCACTGATTGGCCACTTCTGACATCATTGCTTACTACGTGTGAAATCTGTGAATAATCACAAAGATCACATGGTACAGGGCTATTCACAACAGCCTTGTATCATGTGACAAGCTGTGACCAATCAGAGCTCACACAGTATTTCTCAATGGCTGCAAGAATGCAGCCAGAGGGAAGGAGAAATGATTGCTTTTACAGCCTTTATGGGTTTAAAAGCAATCAGTGTACAAAAAAAAAAAATCTTCATCACCCCTCATAAGTAGTAAAGTGTCACCATGGTGACACTGTACTGCTAGGGTGACAGTATGTAAAAAAAACAAAAATAAAAACATAAATAATAAAAAAATTAAATAAAAATGTAAATTTTTTTACAAAAAATTATAATTTTTGGTTATAAACTAATTTTGGTTATTTTTTTTTTTTTTTTTACTAAATAGATAGCTGCATACATTTTAGCCAAGATTTATGAAAAAAGATTATTTATTTGCAAAATTGTATAAGAAAAACTTTTCAAACTTTTTTGACTTTTTCATTAATATAGCAGAAACAAAATTCCAGTGGTGACTAAATACCACCAAAATAAAGTTTTATCTTTCTAAAAAAAAAAATGCAAAAAAAAAAATTCATACAGGTACAGTGTTGCATGACCGCGCAATTGTCATTCAAAGTGTACCAGCGCTGAAAGCTGAAAATTGCCCTGGACAGGAAGGGGGTGAAAGTGTCCGGACTGGAAGTGGTTAAGGAAAAAAACAAGAAGAAATGAAAAATGCATGTGTGTCAGGGGCGGACTGACAACCCATGGGGCCCCCGAGCAATAGGGGATCATGCGGCCCTGTGTCCTTGCCCAAACTCAAAAAAGCCTATGAAAGGTACCAGGGGCATCTCATGGGGCCCCCTACTGAGCCTGGGCCCTCGGGCAGTGCCCGAGTGCTCAAATGGTCAGTCCGCCCCTGATATGTGTATATATATATATATACATACTGTATATACACCCAGGGGCGAACTGATCATTTGGAAACTGCACTGCCTGAGGGCCCAGGGTCAGTAGGGGGCCCCATGAGATGCCCCTGGTACCTTTTTCATAGGCTTTTCTGAGTTTGGGCAAGGACACAGGAGCCCCATGATCCCCTATTGCCCGGGGGTCCCATGAGTTGTCAGTCCGCCCCTGGTCACATCCCTGTCAGGGAATTTCTGCTTTCTGTGTCCCAATGGGAAGATTTTCCCTCACTTCCAGCTGTGTCTCTGGGACAGGGAAGTGAAAGAAAATCTCTCCAAAGTCATAAAAATGTACTACAGTTGTGTTCAAAATAATAGCAGTGTGTTGAAAAAAGTGAATAAAGCTGAAAATCCTTCTAATAGCTTTTATTTCCATCCACACAAATGCATTGGGAACACAACACATTCTATTCCAAATCACAACATGAAGAAAAATACATCAAATTTGTGTTGTTCCTCTAAAAAAATGGAAGAAAAGTGAATATTAGACGGTTCAAAAAATGGCCGTGTTTGTATTCTTCTTTACAAACTCAAACATTCACTATATAAACTGAGAAATGTTTGAAGATTTTGCTTTCCTTTGAATGACTTCATGAATATTTGGTTGTAGCCGCACTGTTTCTGAGAACTGCTGTACATCTGTGTTGCATGGAGTCCCCCAACTTCTG